CATTTATATACAATCCAGTGATAGTCATGCGAATGATCTCTACACTTCTGTTCAAAAGAATTCGGTAATCGTTCGGCATATAGAGGATAGAAAGGAAGTTTTATCGGCAAGATACTAATAAGACTCTTACATATCTATGCACGTATGTAAGTAGATAAGATGTATAACTCAATAATTGTGTAATATTTGTTCTTACAGAAATGTAGGACGAATATAGAAAAATAGAGATACGAAATAAGAGAATGTTGTAAGTGGCGAGAGCTTTCCAGCAGGAAAATGATGAGCAGTTCAAGAACGCGTCGAGCGAAAAAGAAGTGATGGATCGATATCGAGGAATCGGACTTGACTGAATCAGAACAAGAAGCAGACACAATGGAGGTAGACCCTGACTCGGCAGCAGATGCGACTCTTCCCAACAAAAGGGGCTGCCGCTGTTCCTACCTGCGCGCAGTACATAATTTCAAATAGTCGTTCAATCCACCTGAAGTTCGAGACAGGAGGAGGACACTCCCAAATATAGAAGCTAGCGCAAAAAGCGCTGCAAAATGTGTTGCAACATCGTTCGAAACATGGTTTCTTCTCTTATCGATATACTAAAATACGAAATACGAAATATACGAAATAAACATACGAAATATACGAAATAAAATCGTAATATATACAAATCAGGAAATATCAAGCGTCATTAGCTAAAACTCCAAGTCACAAACAAAAAGATTGAAATATTCCACAAAAAGATCAACTAATGGAACTGAAAGCTTTTATAAACTAATTATATTACGCCGAGCTCAATAAATTTAATACAATAAATATCCGATATTTGTGGTCCCCGCTTGCAATGCAATTGTTTAAAGCGTTCTGACAATGTCAGAAAATAAATTTCACTTTATAATAGTTTGTTATCGATTTGACGAGAAAGAAACGCGTGTCGTCGAGAAACTGACAGTTTATATATTACCCTTACAGAAATTTAATGCTGTCAATACTAAATTGGCCAATAATTTTTAGTAGTTTTATTACTTGTTACTATAGTTTTATTACTTGTTAATTAGTAATAAAATTATTAAAAATAACTGGTCAATTTATTATTGACAGTATTAAATTTCTATAAGGGTAGAGAAATATTAAAGAATAATAGAAGAATATTAGAGAAATTTGAGATTATTTTATTGTAAATTGTACAAAATATTATAGACCCGGTAATAATTGTATCACACATTGATGAACAACTGCTCAGTTTTCGCAGCCGATGTCAGTTTCGTATATTTCCAGTAAGCCGGATAAGCACGGCTTAAAATTATTTCTTTAAATGATGTGACTACGTATTATTTGACTAATGCAATATGTTGGAAAAGTAAATGACAAAGACGTTAGAAGTTAGAAGCAATTAGAAGCAGTATCATCCTATTATGTTAGGATATCTGAATCTATTTACAACAGTGGTAATGTTACATGTACCAATTGGCTCACATCCGTGCCTATTGTTAATAAGATGAAAAAATATAATATCACAATTGTAGTAGGGGCAATTGAAAAAAATAAACGCGAGATTCCCGCTTCATTCAAATCAATTCCTAAAGAAGATAATGTTCAATTCGCATATTATGACTGCAAAACATTGTTATCATACAACTCAAATAAAAATAAAATTGTTTTATTACTCTCATCTTTACATATTTCCGAAAAAATGACCCAGTATCAAGGAAACGAGAAATCACGATATTTTATAATAAGACAAAGGGCGACACGAATGTGTTCAACCAATTAGCACATGAGTATAGTACTGCTCGTAAAATTAAAAGATAGTCAATACGCATTTTCTACGGACTATTAGATCAATTAATTGTTTTATTACTTTTATTTTGTATTGAATTTACAAAAATGATAAAATGAAATAAAATGCGTTTCTAAAAGAGTGAAATCCGTCACTAATTAGATTGCATTTGACAAGCAGATTCACAAAGCTTACTTTACCAATACATACTAGAAAACTCATTCAATGTATCATGCCTTCCGATGATATTTCAGAGGCTCACGTAATCTATTAGCGGACAACATTATGGAAATTAAGCAGAGATGTGCCTATTGCCCGTACTTTATACGTAAAAACATACATCATAAATGTTTGAAATGTAATTGGGCAATGTGTCAGCAGTACACAGCAAAGATCTGTCAATACTGTTAACGAAGAAATGCAACAAAAACATGAATAACTGCACTTACATGTACATTAATTTAATATAATAATATAATAAAATATATTAATAAATTAAATACAAAATATAATATAAATAAAAATATAATATAAATATTATATAAAATATTATATAAAATATAATATAAATAAAATAAAATATAATATAATAAAATATATTAATAAATTAAATACAATATTTGAACATTGTTGTATATTTACCTACAAAACACATTTTGTATGAAATAATTCAATTTTAGAACTCTAAATACATAACGAAAATATACCACATCCATCTTGTTAAATAATTATTTTCTTTTAATGGACAGCAAATTCTATATTTTTTTCTTAAAACTATTGTTTTTAAGATTTACCATGTATACCTGCAGAACTCTTAAAACTTCTTTCTCCCAAAGATATAATTTTTTATATAAAATCGGATTTTTGTCAAATTATCTATTTTTAATATAGTCTTTATTTCATAACTTAACAAAATAAAACATTTCGATATTATCACTTGTTCCAATAATATTCCTAGATCTCAAAATTTCAAAAAACATAAAAAGGGAATCCAAAAATATTAATTTGAACTAAAATTATAACCTATCAAAGTTACAAGAGTCTTCTAGATTCACGGAATGTGTTTCCGAGATATTCCGGAAAATGTGTGTTCTAGGGTTAAAGAACTTCTGAATTCATACATAAAATTAATCATATGATAATCAATGCGGGACTCTTTGTAACTTAGAGTCAATTAAATTTAAATTTAATTTATATAATATATTTGAATTAATATAGAGACTTGGGTAGTTAAATATAAGATACTTAAGATTCAATTAATTTTTAGTTTAAATTTTGAAGTATATACAAATAACTTTTCTCTCTATAATTTAATTAAATTCATAAATATTTTGAACTGAGCTGTCACAAATATTTAACAGCTATCAAGTTGTAATAAGGTCATATGAGTTAATACAATTTTGTTAAAACATGATTGTATACACGAATTAATATAAAAACAACTAAGTTAAAGAGTTAAGTTAAGAATTCGATATTATAATAAAAATAAAAAATAAAAATTTGAAATTAATAATTATATATATATATATATATATATATATATATATATATATATATATATATATATATATATATAT